TGATGTAGGAAAAGCATTTGACAAAATTCAATACCCTTTAATAATAAAAACTCTCAACACACTAGGATAGAAGGAATGTACTTCAAGAAATAAAGGCCATATATTGAAGATCCACAGCTGGCATCATAGTCAATGGTGAGAGACTGAAACCTTCTCCTCTAAGAGGAGGAGCAAAGCAAGGATACTCCCTTTTGCCACTTCTATTCAACATAGTACTGGAAGTCCTAGCTAGAGAAATTAGTCAAGAAAAAGAAAGAAAACACATCTAAATTGGAAAGGAAGAAGTAAAATTATCTCCATTCACAAGCAATGTGATCTTGTATGTAGGAAATCTTCAAGATTCCGCACAAAAACTGTTAGAACTAATAAATGATTTCAGCACAATTGCAGTATACAAAACCAACACGCAAAAATCAGTTTTGTTTCTATACACTACTAATGAACAGTCTAAAAAGAGAATTAAGAAAGCAGTCCCATTTATAATAGACCAAAAGGAATGAAATACTTAGAAATAAACTTAACCAAGGAGGCAGAAGACCTGTACACTGAAAACTGCAAAACATTGCTGAGAGACATTAAAGAAGACACAAAGGGGAAGGCATCCTGTGTTCATGGACTGGAAGGCTTAATATTGTTATTATGTCAATACCACCCAAAGCAATCTACAGCTTTAATGCAGTCCCTATCAAAATCCCAATGATGTTTTGTGCAGAAATAGAAAAATGCATTGTAAAATTCATATGGAATTTCAAGGGATCTTGAATAGCCAAAATGATCTTGAAAAAGAACAAAGTTGGAAGCCTCACACTTTCTGATTTCCAAACTTACTACAAAGCTACAGTAATCAAAACAGTGTTGTACTGGTATAAAGACAGACAGATAGACAAAAGAAATAGAATGAAGAGTCCAGAAATAACCCCTCACATATATAGTTGTATTAGTCAGCTAGGGCTACCGTAACAAAGTACTACAGACTGAGCAACTTAAACAACAGAAATTTATCTTCTTACAGTTGTAGAGGTTGGAAGTCTTAGATCAAGGTGCCCGCTAATTCAGTTTTTGTAAGGGCTTTCTTTCTAGCATCTGCATAAAGCCTTTCTTCTATGATACATGGAGAGAGAGTGCCCTTCTTCTTTGTCCAAGGACATCAGCCCTATCAGATGAAGGCCCCGCCAGACTGATGGAGAAGAGGTTGGTGAAAAGCAGTTTTATTGATGTGCTAATTCCTCTCTCAGGCTCTACAAGGCCTTGTAGAAACCTGGGAGCTAGGAGGTACCAGTTATGTAGAGTCCACTGAACCTAGAGCCAGGGAGACTGTGAAAATTGGCTGTGTCAACTTGCCAAGGTCATACCCTCTGATCTGTGCCTCTGTTTACTCATCTGGAAACAGACTGTTCTTTTTATGGTATAAAATTTTGCAAATCACTAAACTGGAGTCTTAACCCAAATTTGCTCCTGTTCTCTGAGAGGTTGTATCTTACTAATTATTCTGTGCGTTTGCATACTCTTCTGGAGAATGGTCACTGACAAGAAGAGGCCTGTAACCTCTTCCTTATTCGTAGGAACAGAGACAGCATACATGGTAGTATCCTGAGACTCCAAACCAAACATGTTAGGCCTAAATGAAAATACTTTCTTATTTTTAATGTTCTCTACTGTAGTCATCTAAAGTGTTCTTATTCACCAGACATGATTATCATACCTATGCAAGAACATTTTCCAGTCCTGTAGGTGCCCATGGCACCCAGGCTTGGCCTACCTCAACCTGCTCCATGTAACCTTCTTTAGTCATGGTGTGTGTGATAAGAGGTCGAGAGGAATGAGTGGTGAGACTGGGGTCCTGGGTACAAGTTAGGCTCCTATTACTGGTGTCTGACAAGCTCCTGTTTCTCCCTACTTTTCATTGGAAATTGCCCCACTCTCCTTATATGTAGTAAAGTGATGATTCCCCAGCAGCTTTTGCAAAGCAAACTTATCCCTCAGCACAGTTAATTTAATCATGGGAAAACCCCCTTATTGAGAGGAGACAATTAGACTTGCTTCCCTGGAAAGCTAAATCTGGGAAGTGTTGGACCTGTGACATATGTATTTGGATACTATTGTCAGCCATGTTTTTCCCTGTGGCCTGAAAATAATAAAAACAGGAAGCTTGTTCACAGAATAGAATATCAAGTGGCTGAGCTGAGAGAAATAGAGAATTTGAGATGAGTTGGAAGGTTCTGATGATGCCATTTGTTCACAGCTTCACCATCAAAAGTCAAGGGGCAAGGACCTTGTGCAGTGTCTTATAGGGTTTCGAGGTGAGTAATGAATTGTTTGAAAACAGACTACCAATGAATGGACCTGGGACCATATTGAGGGGGGATTCCTCATGCTGCAAAACCCAGTGACTGGCTAGGATTTGGAACCAGATCGGCCTCATATCCTAAAGGAGAGCTTCAGCTGGTCGTTGCCTATCCTGGAGGTTGGTGTCTGGATTCTGGATGACTGCACAGAAAAGGGAGAATTGTGGGAGATAGCCCCATCTTCCGTTAGCCTCCTATATGTGTATAGAAGGAATCTACTATAAAATATAAAATGTACTCTTAATTTAGTGACCAGGATTCTGGTTGTTACTTTTGGTGTCAGCTTGACAGAATTAAACAATCCCCCTGGTTCAGGAATGAAGGAAGTAGGCCAAATACCAAGAAAGCCTCTTAATCCCTGATCACTTGGGCAGGAGGTAGAAGCAAGGAGCTATGGTTTGGCATAGAGAGCCCTCTGTTGCTCTAGCATGGACACCCATGTTCTGAGTCAAATTCCCACTCAACCTTAACTGTTGTTCTTGGAACTTGAGTTTAAATAATTAGCAACTACCTGGCACCTAGAGCGTACAAGTAAGAGGTGACTATTATTATTAATATTTCCAGTCATCAAGTTAAATAATGCTTTCTTCATAAAAAGCTGCCCGTACTTTGTCATAAAATGAGAAACAGAAGAGGAGCAGCTGCAAGAATGTTTTCCTCTGAGAAACACTTAATCGGACTCACTGCCACATCTCAAAAGTTTCTTCTCATCCCTCCTGCCCAGCTCATCTCCCATCTCAGCCCTTACGAATTCTATAAGCTTCCACTGAGACATCCTGAACTAGTCAGAAAGTTCTGCACGAATAAAAGTTTCTGAATAAATAAGACAGGTTTATCCATGTATTCTGATCAGTGTTCGGGCTATAAGCAAACGCTGAAATAAGTGAATTAGAAAACCTCTCCTTTTTGGGAGCAAGGTGTCTTTGGAATTCTTGTGGAGAAAAGCAATTGGTTTTCTAATTTTCCACTGCACTAGATAGAATGCAGAGAAGCAGACAAAATGTTTACCTTGTCATTGCTGTGAATTTGGCAGTGGTCCTGGTTCTGTGGCACTCTGGCTCAGGCAGATTAGGTTTTCAGAATCTTGCCCATTGTTCCCTTGGGATAAGCAGAGCCATGAGGGACACAAGACAGGACAGCTTTAAGGAGAGAGGAAGCAGCCAACAAAGTCTGCTTGTAGCTGACTGTGTGTGCACATCTGGTGATTTTACAGTTAGGAAAGAAAAGAAGAACTGGAGAAAGTGAATCTTTTAGAAAATGAAATTTCAGCACTAGGCTCTCAGTCCATTCCCTGGAGTCTAGAACCGGCTTTCTGAGCTATGTAAGCTACTTCACTTCTGTGAGTGTCTGTTTCCTCAGCTGACAAACAAGTGATTTGAAATAGATTATCAGATCTCAGCCCTTACTGCATAGTGGAAAAATCTAGGGAGCTTGTAAGAATAATGCTAACTAGACCCCATCCCAGACCAACTGAATACGTCTCTGGGAGTGAACCCCAAGTCTCAGTATTAAAACGAAACCCTCAGGTGATTTTGATGTACACCTGGGCTGGAACCAGGGCCTAGATGATCCCTGGTGTCTGTTGTATGACCAGAATTCTCTGACTGGGTGATCTCGGGCTCAATCCCTGGACCTATTTCCCTTTCCCTGAGGCCCAGAGTCAGTATCTTCATTACTCTGTCCTTGTTTCGCCACCTGTGTAGTGGGCAATTAAGTCCTCAGTCTCTTCCTGATTCACAGGGTGGCATGGAAAAAGAATGGAATTCTGAATGTTTTGACCACTATATAAAAAGTATGCTCTTGGTTTTTGATATTATTCCTAAATGCCTTCAATCACATCTGTGGAGAAAGATTCAAAGATACCAGAAGTCCTTTGTTGTGAATGGTCCAATGATTTTCACATCTACTCATGGGTCTTCAAGGGTCCACTCAGCCCTCCTTGACCCAGTTGGTCTTACTGCAACATGTTCAAGTACTAAATCAATTTTTATCATTCCCTTTTTTACATTTCAGGCTTATTTTGAAACAATTATCGACTCATAGGAAGTTGCACGAAGAGTCTTGTGTACCTTTCACCCCAGTAGTGACATCTTATATGACTTTAGTTCACTATGAAAACCATGAAAATGACACTGGTACTGTATGTATATTTTAAAGATAAAATATATCATGAATTCATCTTATAAATTCAAGTTTACATGATTTTTACTTAATCTAATTGATCTCACATCTATGTATCTTTCCTCCTGAACTGAATATCTCTTTTCTTACTGATACCAACATTCAAATGATCTATTCCACAAACACTAACAATAGTCTCAGAGTAATAAAATCAACAAAACACCTTCAAAACTATTCCTGAGCAGAGTCTAACAGTTTTTTTTTTTTTGCTGGTCTTTTTGTCCATAAGATATATCTTTCTAAAGATGTCGAGTCAGATTACTGTGTATGAAAAATCACTTGGAATTCTTCTTCTCTCTGTAGTTTTATACTCTATCTCATATATATTTTGGTTTATTTGCCTCATTTTGACTTACCATTTGTATATTGATTTTTGTCTTTTTTATCCTACCATTGTACTATGAGCATTGTCAAACGTAGAGAAAAGTTGAGAGAATTTTACAATTAACACTAATATACTCACTACCTAGGTTCTACAGTTAACATTTTACTATATTTGCTTTATTACATATCTTTTCACTCATCAAGTTCTCTATCCATCAATTTATCTTATTTTGTTGTTGTTACATAAGAGGCAATCAGTACAATTAATTGATAAAACAGTTCAGCATGCATTTTGTTACAACTTGAGTCACACCTTATTTACAAGGAAAAGACAGTATTCCTGCTCTATTAGTTTTCTTCTGGTTAAATCCAATAAATCTGTTCTTTGTTTAGTATCAACAAAGTTGGAAAGGGTATTACTTGTGTGTTCCTCAGGTGTCGTCTAAATGCCCCACTCAGACTCTTCTACTCCCTGCCATTGGTCAATTCTAGCTCTCAGGGATCAAGGTCACATAAGTCAACCTTATAATTCCATGGCCTGTAGAAGTAAATCCAATATTTTTTTTCTTTTTTAAATGAAAAATAAATATTTTTAAAAATTCTTGGTGGAGTGTATATTCACGGGTTCCTCTGCCTTAGGCCTTCTATTGCTACATAAGCTGCTTCTGTGTTTTTCTATTTCCACCCCAACATGGAATACACATCTTTCTAAAATTTCACAAATAAAATACACTCAAAGACTTTGTTAGCTAATGAAGTTGTTAACTTTACTGAATATTTTTGTAGGAAATATTTTAGGAAGAAAAAGAAGATTGTATCACACACTACACAGCGAGCACTTAAAAACTGCATTGAGGTATTTATGTCATTTTCGGCTTGCATGTCCTAAACAGGTTTTTCTCTTACTTTGCCTTTCCCCAATACATTTTAATTTCTCTTCGGTGTGAATAAATGTCCTTCAGTCTGTTTGGAAAATGTAGATCCTTTATGATTGCCAGTAGCTTGAAAAATATAAACAAAAACATTTGAATTTATTCTGAGGTTATAGATTTGGCTCATTGACCAGGAAGTCTTGTCTACAGCAGGGCCTTGGGAAACAGAATCCAGCGCTGGAAATGTAGTGAACTACTGGATCTGTCTTCATCTCTCTTAACTCTGGCCTTGCTTGTTTGCTTTGGTCTCAGATCTTCTAGGTCACCACCCCTAGCCACATGAAAAAGGAACCTTTCTTTTTTTTAATTGTGAGTGGGTAGTAGTTTCAGGTATTCTCCAAATACAGAATATGTATGTGCACAAATATGGAGGAATGTGCCTATGTGAGCCCAGGAATTAATGTGTGTGTGTAGAGATGCATGATACATGTATATATGAACAGCCTGTGCTCTTGGTTCAGCATAGAACTATCTCCGGAAATTCCTGCTTTGAGGGTGTGAACTGACTGGCAGGAGTGCCTTTGGACTAATGTGTGGACGTCATGTGGATGCATGCCTGCAGATGTATGAGTATGTGCTCAGAGCTATACTGGCATGTGACCCTGTGTGCTGGGCCTAGGAGGAGAAGGCTGAAACTTTCCCTGTTTCAGACACCTCTGTTCAGGAGACCAGCTATGCTGAGGATGGAAGCTGCTCATTTCAAATGCAGAGCCGTAGGGAAAAGTGTTCTTGTTGGTCTGGTAGATGATAGATGCTCCAAACAGCATTAATCAGCCTTAGGCAATGAGTACAGGGATGTGTTATGGAAGAATGGATGCTCCTGTCATAGACACAGGGATAGAAGTGGAAAGAAAGAGGAGTGTCAGGAGGCAGCAGAGTATGTGTTATATCAAACTATTTTGTATCAAGGTGTTATATATTTCTGAAGGCAGCAATCAGGGAAGTTTTTTGTTATATTTAGTTATGACACATTAAACATGTGTGGTGAGCTCTATTTCAAAACATGGTGTTCAAGTGATCTGCCAGCCTCAGAGCCTTCTCATAGCACACCAGGGCTTCACTCACTTGGCCTTTCAATTTGTGGATGAGTCCAAGGAGGCTGAAACTTTCCACAACGCATTCATTCTGATGAACACGTCTTTTAGCCAATTTTTCTAAAGCATTGAGAAGTTTTTCCCTGGTATAGGACATGTTTTCTGCTTTTAGACCTTTTAAATAATGGATAATTGCTTTATCTTCAGATTTCAAGTGAAATTCTTGGAAACGACCATACTGGTAATGAATCTCTTGCAGTAGACAATCATCAATGATTTTCATGTACAACACTTTCTGGAAAGTGTCCTCAGCCTTTCTGTAGTGGCCAATTTCTGCATACATGTTAGCCAGGGAAACATAAGCCAACTCAAATGTGGGCCTTAGTGTCAAAGTCTTTTGAAATTCATCTATAGCCAAGCCAACCAATCTGTTGACATTTTCTCTATCCTGGCCTCTAGGCTTGCAGTTTGCAGCTTTCTTTATTTGAATCATTTGTCCTCTGTAGCAAAGCCCTATCTGGTGATGCACGAAGGCAGAGGAGGGTGTTGCCTTCAAGGCCTCTTGTAAGAGCTGAAGAGCTTTATCCAGAGAGCCTTTTCTTCGGTAAAACTTGGCTGCATATCGAAGGACATAGGTCTGCGAGGACGTGTTGGTCAGCGCTTCTTCAATGTACTTTTCTCCTTCAGCTTCTTGTCCTACATCCTGAAGCTTCAGGGCAAGGAGAGCTTTGATATATGCATCTTCTGGGTTTAGCCTGATGGCCTGTTTTAGTGTGTTCAGACAAAATGCCTTACTCATCTGTGTTGCTCCAGTAAAGCCGTCCAGGCGATAGGTAGCGATTGCATACCCAGTGCTGAATTCAGGGTTTTCTGGGTCCATTTCCAGAGCCTTCTCAAAGCAGGCCTTGGCCCGTTTATAATTCTTTCGTCCACATTTCAGCAAGGCCCATCCTTCCTCACAGTCCATCTGAGGACAGTCGATTCTATAGCTGGAGGGATTTGCAAACTTCTTGCAAGTGTTCTCCACCTTGTCCAGGTAAGTCTGAGCTTCTGCCAGTCTGCCCATGTGGTAATACAGCCAGGCGTAGTTGCCCCAGGTAACCAGACTTCTCATGCCTGATTGGTCACCATGTTCTTCCTGGATTAAGTCTTCAGCTTCTCTCAAGCTCTTCAGGGCTTCCTCATTCTGGCCTTTCAGGTGTTTCACATAGGCCAGTAGGTTGTATATTCCCACGTTGTATTTGGTGTCTAGGAACTCAATCTCATCAAAGATCCTGTTTTCCAAATCAGGCATTGCAGTGTCTTCAATTAGCAAATCCCATGTAAAGTGACATCTCAATTGAACCAGGCTAGCTTCAATAAGATTCCCCTTTGATTCCTCACTAGAAAAGCAGATAACAATAATTTATACTTTTTAGGAGCATTCAGTCTAATGGGAATGAAGCAAGCCTGTTGAGTAGTGAAATATTATTCCCCAGTGTCTGTGCCTTCAGTATTTTTAGGCTCCCAGTGTTTTATGGTCATGTTGTTAAGACAGAGAGCAGGTTGACATAAAAACTTTGAGGAAATGCTAGTCATTTTTGGTGCCAACAGGCAGGTTATGTGAACTCTAAAAGGCAACCCAAAGGAGATTAATTCTGCTAATGTCAAAATAATATCAGCAACATCCTCAACCATGCAAATCCCTCTCTCTTGCTGCTCCTTCTCAACACTGTAGCACATCACTAATGCTATCAGAAGAAATGTGGAGAGAGGGTTCACAGAAGGGTAGATTCCTTACTTGTCCTGTCCATGTTCCCAACATAGAAACATGTTTTGGTTTTTTCACTGCAGGAAAGGGTTCTGAATGAAATATAAGAGCCAAATATGGTTCCAAATGATGAATTTCATGACTGCTTAAGCTGAGATGGAGAATGTCTAGAGCATCCTGCCTCCTACACCTGTATGAGCTCAACGAATCCCAGAGAGATTGAAAAGTGGGTGGAAACATCTCACAATGACGGACGTACTGCATGGGAACAGAACTAGGGGGATGAGTGAACATTGCATGAGGTCAGATGTGTCTATGCGAAGTAAGTCAGTCAGTCCCATTTTTGTAATTCAGTGACCCCGACGTCAGGTAACCCTGCAGCCTAGCGGATGACAGGTATTCAAAATCCCAACAATTATAGTAATCTTTCAGCAACCCATGAGGAAGAGAGAATAATAATGGGTCAGCGGGACCCAAAGTTTTCTTTCCAATATTTCACCCTTGTATGAAGTAGAGCTGAAATCCTATCTCCCCTACAAGAACACGGGAGAAGAAAAATAAATGTGAAAAAAAAAAAAATCTCCTCCTCTTTTGGCTGAGGAAGACTGGCCCTGAGCTAATATCCGTGCCCATCTTCCTCTACTTTATATGTGGGACGCCTGCCACAGCATGGCTTGCCAAGCGGTGCCATGTCCACACCTGGAATCCGAACCAGCGAACCCTGGGCCACTGAAGCCGAACGTGCACACTTTACCGCTGCACCACCAGGCCGGCCACAAATATGTTCCTTTTTTGCATGGTTTGGTTAGAACTGGTGAACTGCAGAAAATGTTTTCTGCTCAAAAGGGTTCTCACCTAATAGAGTTCTCCCATCTGAGGTTACAAGCAGTGGGAGAAGAAAGGCTTACAATAAAAACGGCCCTCCTGCAGGATTCCTCTCCAGCACACATCTACACCTGTATTGCAAAGAGACTGCAAGTGAGGGATTGCAATGGAATTTATCACAAGAGTCTCTGGGTCTCTCTTTTTAATATAATGGACTGCAGGTCATAAAATGATGTTAGTGATGTCTGCAAGCCCTCCTTCTCTCCCAGCTGTAATAGCGAGGCTCCCCAAGAGATTTTGTAGTGGCCTATAGTTACGTTTGTAGAACCTCCTGACCTAAGGCAGCCTAAGGGAGCTCTGGAGTATCCTAGTCTGAATAAAACCCACATTAAAATACCCCTGATCCCAGTGGTACAGGGACAGAGAAGCCAAGTGAGCTCCTCCTTCCACTCAGGCTCATTAACCAAAATACCTTACAGGAAAAGGACCCAGGGAAATCCCTGACGACTAACGTGTATCTGCCACATACATAGGTCATAGGGGGGTGTGGTCACCACACACATGCACATACTTGTAATTTCATAGTAACACTAAATTCTGTGTGCTCTCTAAGTAACAGGAGGACTTTAGGTTCTCAGGGTTCCTATTACAGAGAGTGAGGATACCTCTGTGACAAAATTCTACTCCATAGTCTACCCAGGGCCCAAGCCAAGAAGAAGGTGAAAAATGACACATGTTTATGAATGACAATCTATACAAAATAATGATAGAAAGAACAAGAATTTTCTTCTGACAGGTTGGCAGGGCAGCCCTGTAAAGTTGTTCAAGTCGTACACCTGAAGTTCTGCAGTCCCAGTGAGGGCTGAAAGCCAGTATAGTATACTTTCCACTCATCAATTCATGACACTCTGGCCCTCATTAGATCACCCAGAAGAAGGAGGGCCTCTTTCTACTTCTCACAAATGCTTTGGATGGGCAGAGATTGGGGTACATGTTTAGAGTACCTGGAATGGTTTATCCCAAAATATTTTAGCAGCTCCCTCAGGTCATGTCTCTCTGTGTGGGCGATCTTCCCTGAGCAATGTCTGTCCTCATCATACCATAGACTGCAGTGAGCAGAATGGGAGCATTTGGGTCAAAAAGTTCTTCCTGATTCCAACTCCTTTGGGGATGGTGACTGTTACAAACTCAGGTCAAGATGTCACCCCTAAGATCCGGTGAGGATAGCTTGGGAGAGTGTGATGTTTTTTGAGGGGGAAACTTGGAAGGAGATGAGAGGCCATATTGAGCGCCAGCTGTATTCACAGAGGAGCAATAAGCCTGAGAATCCTCTGCTCACCTGGATTTTGTGAATTTTCTCTCTTCCTTTATTTTCAGAAGAGAATGTTTCATCGTCTGTTTTGTGATTAATTATGATTAGATGTTATGAGCCAGGATGATAGGATTTACATAAAAATTTATTTTTGCTAGATATTGGGATAAAGAAAAATTCACAAAGGTCCCCTCTGGGATCTTCCCTTAGGCCTAATGGGTAGAAGAGATGTCAAGTATGGAAAGTAAGATAATTGGTTGAGGACACGGAGGCAAATATACCTACGTAGCACGTCAGGGCCACTTTTTCAAGTATCACAGAATATTTTCAAAAAAAAAAAAAAGGAAAAATAGGTATTCCTGATTGGCAGCTGGCTCTCCCCCATACAGTGATTCATGGACTAAGACTCTTTATTTTCTTTTGACTCCACCATCTTTTTTTTTTTTTTTTTTTTTTGAGGAAGATTAGCCCTGAGCTAATATCTGCTGCCAATCCTCCTCTTTTTGCCAAGGAAGACTGGCCCTGAGCTAACATCCATGCCCATCTTCCTCTACTTTATATGTGGGATGCCTGCCACAGCATGGCTTGTCAAGCAGTGCCATGTCTATACCTGGGATCCGAACCAGGGAACCCTGGGCTGCCAAAGTGGAACGTGCACACTTAACCACTGTGCCACCAGGCCGGCCCCCTATTTTTCCTTTTACGTGAGTGAGAAGTAAACTTTTATGTTATCTCCTAAGTTATGTTTCAGAGTTAATGTGTGATAACAGCTTGCATCATCCTAACTAAGAGAGATGATCAGAAAAAGTTAAAATTGTATATACTTTTCTAAATCTCAGATATCATCTGTTGAAATTCAGGTTATGTACTTTTGTTGGTCTAGACAGTACTTTAATTATAAAGAGAGAATTGCTAAAACACTGAGAGAAAGAGACTTTTCAAAAATGTTTCCTGTGAGCTTTTAGTTACTATGGACTGAAATGCCCATGCAGGTTAGATATTAGATATTTCTTTAACTGTTTCAGTGTTTTTTCTTTTTCTTTTTCTCCCTGAATCCCCCCAGTACATAGCTGTGTATTTTTTTCAGTTGTGGGTCCTTCTAGTTGTGGCATGTGGGACGCCACCTCAACATGGCCTGATGAGCAGTGCCATGTCCACGCCCAGGATCCGAACCGGCGAAACCCTGGGCCACTGAAGCACAGCACGGCAAACTTGACTGCTCGGCCACAGGGGTGGCCCCTCGGTGTTTTTTCTGATGGTCGGAAATTTCCAAATCTATCTTGGACCTCTGGCTGGTCTTGCTTTGCTGTAATTAGTGATGGATGAGGGAAGGTGTCTACAATGAGAACTGAATGTTGTCAACATCAACTCCTCTAACTAAAGACCACCAGGAACCAGTCTATGGTTGAGCAAGTTGGATATATTCCCCATTGCAGCAAGGAAGGACAGATACCACAGGGAACCATCGGATGTCTCAATAAAGGTATTAGAAAGGACTTCTCAAGTTTGAGCTTGTGTTAGGTGGCTCTAAGGAGGGTATAAGGAAGGAAGGCTTTGTTCAGAATTGATGCTGTCAGGAAGCAGGAATGATTCTATGTTTGGGTATCTTAATAAATCTTATTCAGAAGGAAGGAAGACTAGACCAATGCTAAAGGTTTGGTTTGAAAAGAAGTAGCAGTCACTCATATTAGGCAGGATAGTGGGCTGTTTGGACCCAACTGAACAAGGTCAATATTCTTCTCTATGTTCAGACAAGATTATGGAGTGGTCTTGTTTTTGTCTTCATCCACCGTGGTCTCAAGGTGGGCTTGTCTGATGTTGATGTCATGTGAAATTGTTTGTGTGCTACAGGAGAACACTGAGTCCTTTCTATGAATGCCAGGTCATGTTCTAGCAACACCAAGGCCTATCTGATAGTGCTGGGCTGGTTCCCAGATGTCCAGGGCTCTATTTCTTTCTCCTCAGGAAACTTCTACATGATTGATCCAGCAGACAGAGAGGTACCCTGATCCTTCTAAGGTCTAAGATCATATAGACAAGAAGGAACACCCAGAAAAGGAATACCAAACAAGAAATATATCTATTTTAAGTATTGCCAGTTGAAATATGCAGATATCTTAGGGAAAGGCATGCTTGAGAAGAGGTGTGGTGTAAGATCTCTCTCTGTGTGAATGAAAAGCATCTGTCTCTCATTCAAGGAGGGATTTAGGCACCTTGAGGTAGACCACATCTGCTCATTCCTAGTTCCTAGAAGAGTGTGCTGGCCCACTTGACATCTTATAAGCACAGGATATTGTTTAGATCCCTAGATTCTTCCCCAAACCCAATAAATCTCAAGATCGCCTAATAATGAGAATCCCAGTCCCACTCCCTAAGTCTACTCTAGTTATAGAAGTAGGCAGGGAAACTCTCTAAGCATAATGGGAGTGTGGAAATGAGAGCGGAACTACCCAGGGAACAACGGAAAGGCAACCAGGGCCAGCCTGGCCCCCTGTGGGAGTGTCAGTTTGCTTAAAGGGATGAGTGACTATTAGGCAAACATTGTTTCATCTGAGGATGAGCAAACCTAGGGCATTAGAACGAACCTCCTAGACCTGTCCCGTGACAGAATGGGCTGGTGGTGGAGGGACTCCTCAGACATATACCGTCTCAACATCTTAGGGCTCTGTGTTCTGAGTACAAGAGGGTAAAAGCTCCATTATAGAACAGTCCTTTTCAGGATATGGGCCAATGGGATATTTTTCCTGAGGTTCCTTTCCCTTCTTCCTCAGCTTGGACACAATGAGAAATAGTAAGACGTTTCACCTTCATTTGCTTTTGTGCACACAAGACAGTTTTGCTCAGTGGTGAAGGCCACCTGGAGTCAAGGTGTCTAGATTCATTACTAGAACTAGAACTAGAACTAGAGTTTGCCGCTTGCCAGCTGTGTGATCGTGGACTAGCTAATTCACCGTTCTAAGCTACATTTTCTTACCTATGAGTCAGGCAGTAATAGGACTTCCCTCATGGGGTTGTGGTGAGATGAAATGGGATAATGCATGTAAAGTATGTTTCATTGAAGAGCATTCAGTAATTGTGGGTGTTGCTTTCATGATGTGTGACAAGCCCCTCCATCTGTGCAGCTGGCAGTCTGCACTGCGCTGATCTGTAGCTGAAGCCCTTCCCCATTCTAACATTTCCCAGTGAGCACCAAGAGGTGCCTCATGTCATGACTCTTACTGTGCAGCTGCTGAGGCAGGGTGTTCTGCTGTGAGCTCCAGGCCAGGGCAATCTTAGTCCCACCTTAGGGCCCAGGTCAGGGAGCCCTGGACAAGCACAGAGCCTGGCAAAGCCTCTTGGGCAGTAGGCATTCAGCCCTTCCATAGGAGGGACCGACCTGTGTGGGCAGAGAAGAGATTTTTGGAAGGGGCTCACTTCCTCTCAGCTCTCTTCTAGTTCTGTATCACATGGGAGGCTTCTAGTAGGCCCGTTGAGTCTTCAGGTGAAAATATTTTCTGCAAGGCACCAGCCCTAACTCAACTCTGAAAGAAAGGGATGGAAACATAAGCAAACACTGACATGAGGTTTAGCATTTGCACTGACAGCAGCATGGCTTTGGGTATCTTGTGCATAAAATTATTGCTTAGTGACAGTTTGTCAGAGAAACAGAGTGTGTGTTGATTGCGCGATCACTATGAATTTGGCAGTGGTCCTGTTTCTCTGGGCCTCTGGCCAGCTGATTAGGTTGTCAGAATCTTACTCAGTGTGTCTTTGGCATAAACAGACTCATGAACCACACAAGACAGAGCAGCATTAAGGAGAGAGGAAACAGCCAACAGTGTGTGTGAGTGTGTCTGCGTGTGCGTGTGTGAGTGTGTGTTTCTACACAGAGGAAAGACCGAGGGAAACTGGTTTCTAATGGATAGGGTTCCTACTTGAAGAAATGAAATTTAGGCACTGAAGTATGAGTTCAATATGAGGATTCCAGGACCAGATCTGTGTTTGACTGACAAGCTGGGTGAATTTGATTTAATTTAAACTCTCTGAGTTGCCTTGTGAGTTAAGTCAAAAGGCTGGCCTTGCACAGTGGTTTGCAACCCTGGCTGCAAACTAGAAAATTCCCTGAGAATCTTAAAAAACAGAACAAAAAACTGATGCCTAAGCTGATCTCCAGTCTAATGAATTGGGATCTATGGGAGTGAGGCCCAGGATCGGTATTATCAGTAATTCAAACAAAAGAAATTCCAAGGTAATTTTATTGTGCAATCATGGTTTGAAAAGACTGAGCTAGGCTTTTGCCACTCAGAGTATGGTCTGTGGACCAGCCCCATCAGCATCAACTGAAGCTTGTTAGAAACGCAGACTCTCAGGCCCCTCCACAGACCTAGTAAATTAGTCTTCCTTTTAATGAGATGTCCAGGTAATCTGTTGCTGTGTTAAAGTTTGAGAGGTACTTTCTTAGATGATTCCTGGGTCCCTCTCAGGCCTAAATGCTATGGAAGGGTGGAGAGGTACTTATTCCCAGTACAAACCTATCTTTCTATGAGGCTCGGAGTCAGTAACTTCATTTCTCTGTGCCTTGGTGTCCCTGTGTGCACCTTTGTAATCCACACATTATGATAAAGGAATCACAGATCAAACTGCTTTGACCTCTACATAGCAAGGCTGACGTTTGCTTTGGAGATTACTCATGTTCGCAAACATGTGCCAGTCACATCCACAGAGAAAATACTCAGCTACCAAGAACTACGTTAGTGTGAAAGGTCCAGTAATTTTCATACCATTCCAGGAGTCTTGATGGCTATCTTTGGCACACTAAGCTTTTCATTTCTGGCTGACTCCCACATATTCCAGTTCTAACTGAATTCTCATTTTTAGATGTCAAGCATTCATTCACTTGGGATTGTCAATGTACATTTAAAGACCATTTGTACCGTTGAATTAGGTTCAAGACACTGCATAGTCTGCTGCTATAATGCCTATGAGAAACAGAGGCAATAGTTTTTAGACTTGTCTGAACTATCTTGGGACTTGGGGAATCCATGTCTGCTAAGAGAAATGAGAAGAGGTGAAGATATTTTCTGGTTGCAACTGAAATTTAGAATTCTAAATTGGGCTGAAAAAACAAGTTCTACTACTTGTGTCATTCCCAAGGCTCTGGGAAGCCTAAAGATGTTTAAGAAGCCTGTGATCCAAACATATTGTTGACATGTCCAAGGCAGCCTTTGTTGCCATTAGTTCTAAATCATTTTAAAGGCAGCAAACCATAAATGATCATTAGCTACATGCCAGGCACTCTGTATGGACCTGGTTATGATATATTTCCTCTTCTCAGGTGACTTACCATCTAGCAGGAGAGACAGATCCATAAGCATTTAATTTAATTGTAACAAAAGGAGTAGATGTGTCATTTTGTAATCACAGAGGATGGGATGTTTATCTTTTCCTGAGGTACAGAAAAAACTTCTTGGGTTAACTCTTGATCTTTAAGCTGAAGTGTTTGGCATAATCCTAGTCTTGCTGGCTGCCCACTCAGAGAATAGCCTCAAGATTGTGTGGTGTGACCAGGCCTGGCCCCGGAAGGGAAGTTTTTGTGGCTACTTGTGCAGTGTGCAGTGATGTTGGCTGTACACGCTAAGGCTTCCGGAAGACTTTGGCCTGGGACTGCCAAACCAGCTCTCATATCTCAAGTCACAGTAATCCTGCAGAAGCAGAGAAGAGGGAATATATGACTGTGAAAGTGCCAGCTGACCACCAAATTAGTACTCTGGAAATAGAAAGTTTTCTATGATAGGGGCCCCAAGATGTGGTGTATATCATTAGTGTCTACTCAAGTCTGAGTTTGTTTCAGGTGTCTTGGCAGTTGTACCTCCTGAAGCTCATCAATTGTTCAATGGTCTGTAGGTGAGATCTGCTCCTTACTTTTCCAAGGGCAGGCAAAATACCAGCTGGGGACAGATTGGACTCAGAGAACCAGAGGTGCAGAGCTAGATTATACCCAATTCCTCTCAATGAGTTGGCTGATCAGGTACCCCTGTTGGTGTATATATGTATAAAGAGCCTCTACACCTACCAGTGTAAAGTGTGGTGCAGTGACATCACACTCTTCCAGCATGTGCATTTGGTCAAACACATTGGAAGGGTCCAGAAGTTCGCTTGAGTTGCAGTGGTTCCTCTGGGCAAGCACAGGCTTCTGTTGAGGTCTTAATTTGGCTGCTAAGCAGGTGAGAGTAGGTAGCTCGTCTCACCTTTAGCTGACACCCTTGGTTCCATTCATCCAGGCTCTCTGCCTTGGGTGTCATTGGTAGCGCCCCCCGCCCCCTTCTCCGGGGGCCTGGCCTATCCTTCTGGAACTGGGCACAAGGGGCAACATTCTGTAGTTGCAGTGTATGTCCTTGGGATAAACAGACCCATGACTCACAGGATAAAGCATCATTAAGGACAAAGGAAATAGCTGACAGTATGTGTATGTGTTTACAAATATGAAAGAACAATAGCAACTGGAGAAGGAAATTTATTGTCACTGACAGTGTTCCTACTTGAATCAGAATTTGAATACAGACTTCAGGATTTGAGAGCAAGCTCTGTAACAGATAAGCTGAGTGATCTTGATAGGATCCTTAGCCTCCATAAGTCTCACTTCCTCAAGGGTTAGATAAGAGGGTTCACCTAGATTTTTTATTTATTTATTTATTTTTGCTGAGGAGGATTCACCCTGAGCTAACTTCTGTGCCAGTCTTCCTCTGTCTTCTCTGTGGGTTGTTGCCACAGAATGGCTGATGAGTCGTATAGGTCTGTGCCAGGGATCTGAACCTGTGAACCCAGGCTGCCAAGGTGGAGTGCACTGAACTTAATCCCTCAGCCAAGGTGCTGGCCTCAGATTTTTGATTCTTACTACAAAGATTCTCAGTTCCTTTTTTTTTTTTTTTTAAGGAAGATTAGCCCTGAGCTAACATCCGTGCCCATCTTCCTCTACTTTATATGTGTGACGCCTGCCACAGCATGGCTTGATAAGCGTTGCCTACATCCGTGCCTGGGATCTGAACTGGTGAACCCCGGGCCATTGAAGTGAAGTGCCTGAACCTAACCGCTGTGCCACCAGGCCAGCCCCTCAGTTCCTTTTTCCATATCAAGATTGATTCACCTGGAATCATCTACATACATTTTAGAGAGAATTTCCTCTTCTGAGCTAGGTATAAGACATCACATAGTCTGCTGCCTTAATGCATGTGAGTATTGTGACGTCACTGTTTTTAAATATCTCTGAAATACTTGGGACTTAAGTAGAACTTATCCACCAAAGGGAGCGAAGAGGAATAAGGATATTTTGCAGTTGCAACTGATATTTATGATCCTTAATTAAATGGACTGAAAAGAACATGGCTCAGCACCCATTATTCTCACAACTCTGACAATTTCATGAATGTTTAAGGTTCTTTTGGTGAAAATAATTGGATAGATGGTAGGAGATCTCCACAAGTAGTACCCCAAGCTCCCAGGACAGCATTTGTTGCCAGGAACTCCTTATCATTTCAAATGTTCAGCAAACCAGTAGTGCTCATCTGTGTTGTGCATGGGACCCTGCTGGCATCTGTAGGTAAAATGATAAGGGAGACGTTCCCTCCTCTCAAGTGGCTTGCTATCTACTGGGAGGCAGAGACACATAAGTACATTTTTTTTCCCCTGAGGCTCATAGGAAACTTCTTGGGTCATGTTATTGATCTCCTACCTGAAGGAAAATAAAAAGTTATATTCCTGATTTGAGGATAATTCCATGTTTCCCCATTTATTGAATTATGGAATTTTCGAGATTGCTTTTCTATGTTGAGATCCTGAAGTGGTGGTGGAATCAGGTGTAGGGGTGCCTGGCCTCTCATTAGACACTCTTAGCTTCCAGTTCAGTCAGCCTCTGTGTATTGAGGTCTAGGGTATTGCCTCTTCCTGGGGCTTGGCCCCTCCCTACTGCAGCAGGTCATTACTCTAAAAGCAGTTTTGCACCCTACTCAGGGGGTATTTGTCAATGTCTGGAGACATTTTTGATTGTCACAACTGTTAGTAGGGGTGGTACTGATGTCTAGTGAGTAGAGGCCAGGGCTGTTGCTAAACATCGCTACAATGCACAGAACAGCCCCTCACAACAAAGAATTGTCTGGCCTAAAATGGTAACAGTGCCAAGACTGAGAAACACTATATTGGTTCCAAAAGAACTTTCTGCGATGATGGAAATGTTCTAAATCTGTCCTGTCTAATGCGGTGGCCACCAGCTACAGGTTACTGTTGAGCACGTGAAATGTAACTAGTGCAGGGGCCATCCCGGTGGCGCAGCGGTTAAGTTTGCACGTTCTGCCTCTCGGCAGCCCGGGGTTCGCTGGTTCGGATCCCAGGTGCAGACATGGCACTGCTTGGCACACCATGCTGTGGTAGGCGTCCCATATATAAAGTAGAGGAAGATGGGCACCAATGTTAGCTCAGGGCCAGGCTTCCTTAGCGAAAAAGAGGAGGACTGGCAGTAGTTAGCTCAGGGCTAATCGTCCTCAAAAAAAAAAAAAAAAAAAGAAATGTAACTAGTGCATCTGAAGAACTCAATTTTAGATTTTATTTTAATTAATGTAAATAGCCACATAGTCACTATGGTATTGGACAGCACAGCTCTAGATATAGGCTTCTACTGTGAGATGCTTGCTTCCCCCCACCCACTTTGATGGAAGTAGCAGATGTCTTGGGAGACACCAGTTTCTTGAGTGTGCAGCTTTTACATCTTAGGTAGTTCAATAAGAAACTTGCCCTTATCTTCTGGGCACAGTGATCTTTGGCTGTATGTAGGGAATATATGTATGTATCTCTGTTCAAAAGGAGCTTAGAAATGCTATTCTCTCTGCCATTCCTTCCCTGTATATATCCCAATGAATATCTCTTTTTGAAAGATATCTGTGTGCTTGTGTCTATGGAAGACTTTATATTCAAGGTAGAACTTGCTTAGAAGTAACAGATGATGGCAGTAGAGAGCACAGGTAGCTAGCTTTACTTAAGAAACTCTTTGTAAGACTTCATTAAAAAGCATTATATGTTGTTCATAAGATTCTCCAACGCTTTTTCTTTAACCTCCCTCCTTCAGTTTTTTCCTTAACTTCTTGAAGTTTCTTGGCAAAGATAACTTTAACAAACCAGTTTTCAGGACTCAGCTCTGTGGCCTAGCTCCTTGGGTGTATCATCCAGATGGTTCTTTGAGATTGCCAACAACCTGGCTTGTTGGGTTTATCTTCTAGAACTTCCTTGAAATACATCTTAGCCCTTTCATTGTTCTTTCCTCCACTTTATTATTTTGCCAATTCTTTCTCACAAGTGATCTCTGGAGACTGGATTCTCTGACTTGAAAACCTGTTTCGAAACTTTCTGCCTTGGCTATCTGAGTCTGTGAGTCTGAGAATCTTATGTAAGATGAGAAGTCTAAGATAAGAGACTTAGGCAAACATGGTGAGCCAATCATGCAGTAGATTTCATTCCTATGCCTTGTCCCCTCAGACAGTGAATAATCTGAACAATAATGCTTGGCTGCTTTGGCACCAAGCAGGAGAGATTTTCTTTTCTTTGAATATGGGTGCGTCCTCCCTGACATGGATTGTCTTTCAGGTTTGAGATTTTGAGCCATAGACACACTATGAGGTGAAATGTCATCAAAGATCTGTCTTTACTCTCTAAATAGGATGCTAAGCAGTTAAAATTTTCTAGGTTCCCGTTCCTTTGCAAAACTGAATAAATAAAGAGCAGTAAGATAGTTCATTCTTATATGCCTTTGTGATTGCAAAGCGTAACATCAGAGGACCTGTTTGATGAACCAGTTCTACCATTTTCTAGCTGTATGACTTTAAACAATTAACTCCAATTTCCAAATACTTCATTTGTGATATGACAGTAATGTTTATATTATTGTATAAATACATAAAATATATTTTTATATCTATATAAATTTATATTTTTATACCTAATATACTTTTATATAATTTTTATATTATATTTACATATAAATATAATAATTATTATAGTTCTACTTATAGAACTATAGTGAGAATGCTGAGGTAATATAATCAAAGATCAAGAAAAAGTGAGCTAATGACCAAGCAGAATAAGAAATTAGTTGTTAGCGTTAGTATTGGCATTATCATTTTTAGTGTGTGTATCTGTGTGTGTGAGAGAGATCCAGGCACTCAGTGGATGGGGCAGAGGAGGATGTCCATCAGCAAGCAGGTCCAGGCCTTTCCCCAGGTGGTTTTCCTCTTTGGCAATTTTTAGCACTGGTGGGAGGAGCAGCCTAACCTGCCTCTGAGCCGATGGCCTCTGGGAACAGTGGCACCTTGATGTGAGCTTCAGTCAAGCATAGTCCAGAGAGCCTCTCTTGGGCCTCTTCAGGTCAGGGGGCTGTGACACACCCAAGCACAGGTCACTGCAAAACCTCTTGGGCAGACTCGCTGTCAAGGTGCTGGGCATCGCCAGGTTTTCTGGTCAACCCCACTCATGCAGGCACATTTAACATCACTCATGACCAGGAATCCATTATGTAGAAAAGCTTAACCTGGGGCACTTGGCAGTGAATTCCTCTTACCATCCCCAAATATGAGCCTGCAGAGCATTTGGGAACCCTTGGGTCTTCCTTCTCTCAGTCACTGAGTGGTCACTAGGATTCTCCCTCCCCAGGCAATCAAGCCCTCAATCCCTCCCCATAGATGTTTGATGGGAAAGCCTTCTTTTTCTCTCATCTCTATCTTTCCTGAGGCTCCATCTGATGGCAGAATTTGAGCGTGTGTATATGCATTTTTAAAATCAAGTTACTAAGATTATACTTTGCATACAATAAAGTGTACCCATTTTAAGTATATAATTTGATGAGTTTTGAGAAATGTGTATACACATGTAACCACTACCACTATCTTTTTATAGGCTCTTTGTATCACCCACAAAGAGTCCCGGGTGTGCCTTCCTAGTCTATCCCAACCCCACCCTCGACCATCCCCAGGCATCCATTGATCTGCTTTCCATCACTAGAGATGAGATCAGTATTAGAAAAGAGATTAGGTCATTATCTTTTGAAGAGAAATTATTTCCTGCTGCTAGCCAGCTCTCATCAGAGCAATATAAAGTAAACTGTATTTTGGGTTTTGTTTTTACAAAAGAAATAGAAAAATGCCCAACTGTGAGAATCATTTCTTCCACTTCCCACCTTGAAGCGATGAGACTTGCAGGGCAAAATTCTACTCAATGTGAGTTGGGTTTGCTCTACCAATTCCATCTGTAATAATATCTGCTGAAGAGAAATGCTTTCTTTTAAAATAACAAGAAGAAAACCTCTTAATCCTTTCAAAGAAAACAGCAACAACAGAAAAGCCCATAGAAAGTAAGTCCCTTCATCTAACTTTGAATCAGCAAACATTGTACTTGAGTGGATCCACCCACTCCTGCCAAGCCTCTCTCACATCCCAGCTTCTGCCTCCCAGCTCCACCCAGTGAACAGTTCTAGAAGCTTAGGGAGCTTGAGTGTGTATACTAGAAAAAAACCACAGGAATAAAAAGTGCCTATACTGATAAAGGTATGTTTAGTCCATAAACAACAGGACAACTCAGAAACATGCCTACACCAGAGAAACAGCTTACAGTTTGCATTCAAGATCAAGAATGCTTATACATTGGTATTTCACTGACCTCATGACTGCGATCTGCTTCTCTGCTCTTCTGAAAAGCCGGGATCCAAGCCGATTTGCTCTTCGGAAATCTTTCCAGTCTGGCTCAAGTAAGTGCTGCAGGAGCTATATAAAGGGAAAGTGGGGGTGGTAGGAATGCATCAGCTGATGCTTTCTCACTGTTTCTGAGCTGTTATGAAAGGGAAGGGGAACTGGAAAGTGAAACTGATCTAAAATCAAGAGGAAGGAAATGAAACTGAAGGTTGAGATCTGTGATTACTCAGTTGAACTGCAATGGTTAAAATCATGACTCTGGAACTATAGTTTGAGGGAATGTGAAAGCACTCCCAGACTCTAACCAGAAATCTAGAGTGGGCCCTAGTAAAGTCTGTGGGAGATGCTGCTGCTGGGGTTTCTGGGACCACATAGTGAGAAAAACCATTCCAGAATATTTTGTAAAAAATAGTTTCATCCAGTAAATATACTTGTGGGAGACAATTTGCTTCTGGAGACCTAGGTTTAATTCTGTGTTCAGTTTACTAGCTCTGGGGTTATCCATGAGTCAAATCACTGAGCCTGAATTTCCTTTTTGCCCCATACTCATTTAGGAAGCCACCTTGGAGTGAACCCCAAGCAGTTTAAATCTTGGAGTTCTAAGGCAGTCATTTAGTTTTCCCAGCTGTAAAATGGGAAGTAGTAAGACATGTAATATTGTTTAATGGCTGGCTGGCTAGCTGCTAAATTTATGTATTTATGCTTCGAGCAGTGAAGGAATGGTATCACTCTGAGAGACTTTGTTTTTCATTTTTATAAAATTTCCTAGCCATGATGTAAATATTCATAAAAACCTAGGGAGTATAGTCCTCATGTCTGAGTTGATGAAGGAATTGTCAGTTAGGTAGGAGAAAGACTCTGTAGGGGAGGAAGAACCGTTCCCCTACCCTCTAGGTCCTTCTGGCTGGTCTAAGAATTAAATGGACATGAGACAGAATAATAGGAGAAAATTAGACAGAGATGAATAACATGCGTACGTGGGAGAAACCCAGGAAATCTGAGTAAGTTGCCAAAATGGTGGAAGCCACTACCTTAAATACCATCTTCAGCTAAGGACAAAGGAGGATGTTGTGGAGAGTGGTTTGAGACTTCAGAGGGGCAGAAGGCAATTTACATGGAGGTGGAAAGGCAAATGTTGATAAACAAATGTTGACCGTGCCTTGCAAAGACAATGAGAGTTGGAGAGGACTTTCATTAAAAAGGTTCTTGTTAGGTTCCTCCCTGTCTATCACCCTAGTTTATATTATGCTATAGTTATCTTACGGTATCAGCTCCTTCCAGGAACAGGCCTTCTCTCTTACATTCTTTTAGGCAGTTAGGGGGAAGGTCAAAGTTTCTTCCTGAGTCTTTTGTTCTTAAAAAGTAGTCAAGCCAAGGAGACACATTTGGAGGTGGCAAATTCTGATGCCCCACATCTCCTTCCATTCTGAAGCTGCAGAAGGCAGAGACTTCTGTATAACACAACTGACACACGTTTTTTTCCAACAACTGGAGTATCGTAAGACACTTTCAGTTGAGAGGTTGTTGTCATGTCCAGTGAAAGTGAGCTGCAACTTGGAAAGACCTATAATTCTGATTGCTTATCTTCCTTAACAGTTTGTTATCCTGGTAGTAATAAAGTGACATACCTTGATAAAAGTAAACAATACTTGATAAATACTGTGATACTATGAAAGGTATAAATACCACCCTTACACCCAAGTAAGGGGACCCTGCCCTTGGTGCTGTGCTTTAGAGGGCCCCACATTTCACAGACACAAAAAATGTACATTTTTAAAAGAACACATGGCATCTCTGTTACTCAGAATCTGTTGCTTAATCCTGGCACGGTTGGACTTGGAACCCTGAACGTCCAGCTCAGGGAAAACGTATGTCTATCTCTTGACTTCTTGGCTCAAAACGAAAGGAAATTGAATTGTATCATGAAAGTTTCTGCATTGTGAGGATGCAGGTTTTAGAGACAGACACTGCTTGGAGTACAGAGAAGATGTGAGCGGCAGAAGCAGTTAGATCAGAGTAAAGGAAAATTTACTGAACTGGTCAAAGCCTTCCTCTCAACCTGTATGTAATAGGTTCTTGCATAATGAAGAATTATTTTCCAGCACAGTAGCACCAGCTTCCCATTTTTTTGCTTCTCTTCTTATTCTAATTCCTGGCTCAAGAAGCACTCATGAATCAGTGTGGTGTTTGCAACAGTTGCGTATGGTGGTTGAATAACATTCTGCTTACTAAGAAATTCACAGTACTCTAAAACGTGTACACTTGTAGATTTAGATTTAGACATTGAGTCAAATTTTCTTCTGCATTTGGACTCTTCCTTTGTGGGAATTTACTGATGAATGGTTCCTGGGTATGGGTGTTTAAAAATAAAATCATGTGGGAACAGATTTTCATACCCATACACTATTCAGAAAATAGAATACAGAATATCTCTAACATATCTATTGAGTGAAAAGCAATGACATTATTTGAAAAGGTGATAAGAAGGGCATGATACAATGAAAAAAAAAGTTAAAAATAGAAGATGATGAGAGAAAAGCTTGCTTTCTTTTTATACATTTGAAACAAGAGTGCTCATTCCCTATTCTATATTGAAATGTAATTCACATACCATACAATGCAGCCATTTAAAGTGTACAATTGAATATCTTTCAGCATTTCACAGAGCTGTGAACTGTCACTGCAATCGTTTTAGAACATTCTCATTACCCCCAAAAGAAACCCCATAATCCTTTGCTATAACCTCCACTCCTCTCATCTCTCCCAGCCAAAGGCAACCACTAACCTACTTTCTGTCTGTATAAATTTGCCACCTCTGGACATTTCCTGTAAAGAGAATCAAATAATATGTGACCTTTCATGACTGGCTTCTTTCATTTAGCCTAATGTTTTCAAGGTTCAGCTGTGTTGTGCATGTATCAGTAAGTACTTCATTTATTTTTATTACCAAATAATACTCCACTGTATAGATATACCTTATTTAATATATCAGTTCATCGGTTGATGCATCCACTTTTGACTGTTATGTATAATGCTACTATGAACATTCATATACAAGTTTAGGTGAATATGTTTTCATTTCTCTTTGGGTATACACCTAGGGATGGAATTGCTGTGTCATATGGTAACTGTATGTTAAACCATTTGAGGAACTTCCAGACTGTTTTCCAAAGTCATTGCACCAGTTTACATTAAAGATATTAGTCAGCTTCCCTGTTTGCAGCCTCCCAAGAAGGTGTAGATTACCAGCAAGGAGGCAGCTGCTCTGTAAATTCTAAGGAAAATGTCTAATTAGTCAAATTAAGTTAGTCTCTCCCCCAAAATAAATGATTGGGGAAATGGTGGAGGGAGGGAGGAAACAGGAGCATATGGTCTCTACTTGGAACCCACATTTCCCAGATTGGTATCCAAGGTTGAAGATACACATGGTAAGGATCCTAACAGTCTTATTTCTGTTTATCTTTAGGATTCTAACACTTCCATGCTTCTGGTCTTAGTGGAAGCAGATTGTGCAAGTCAGTTGACCAGAGGTGGGACGAAAGATGAAAGTGGAGCGTGACTCAAGGTTGGCTGCCCCAGGGACTGTGTTTGAGCCCTATGGAAAAAGGGGCTACTAGCAGAGGCTGATGAATCTTTCACTGAGGACTCTGAGGCTGAGGAGTAATTAGTAGTACTTGGAACACAGACAGGAATGAGAGAAATGTTCCTCCCGCCTTCATGGGCACTGAGACACTTGAGAACATTTTTGGCAGGGATATCAGTACTCTGAAGGTGGCAGTCAAATACAGAGAATGATGAGATGTGTTGAAGCAGTTTTGAGGACAGAGGACATTGATGGGTGTGGGTGCTGGAGCAATACCCATAGCAGATGTGATTAGATGATTCTGACGGACTTGTTCATCAACACCGAGGAGACACCTACTGGGGGCTTGTTATCTACCTGGGTGAGGATATGAGGGGAGTCAAACGTCCTGCACTGGGAGGTGTGGTTAAGAGCCAGGGAATTCAAGTCATTCCAATTGATGTGGCTCATTTCTTATCCCTGATAATGAGATTTCAGGAAACATGAGCTACGCTCATAATTTTCCTTATTGTTTTTCAGTCATTTCTGTTAGCTTTAAGTCTTCAATTAAATATCAAGTATAATATGTCATACACCTCTTCCCTAGCCTTTCCTCCTCTTTCCTTTCAGGGTCCTGTTCCAGCAAGGGTTTGGGTGGCATGCCATGCAATGACAAGATTACATACACCTGGTGTACCTTCTTTAGCCCTCTACAGGTGCCAGTGGTCCTCTCTCAAGGTCAGCTTACCTGCCCATCTTACCTTCCACTCAGAACACTCCTGGTTTTCCTCCCCAGGCACCAGGTCCAATAATAAGTCATTCAGGCAAAGTGAGCTAAACCTTTCCCCGAGATGGATGCTTGTCCAATTCAGTCCAATGGAATGAGTTTACCTTTGCAGCTGGTATGAATTGTGTTTTCCACCAGAGGCCTCTTGACAAACAAGAGCGACTTCAGGGCTTTGTGTCTCTTTCTATTTTGTACTTAATAGGGAAAACTCTCCAACATCCTTTAGAATGCCTCCAGGAGGGGGCATAACAGAATTGGCCACACTTCCTCATTCTCATAATGAATGCTCAGAAGAGGACAGAGAATATGGACACAGGATATTAACAAGATATAACAGAGAAGGGCAGCAACCCACCCTCTGTCAGTGTGGGGACAGGGTATTTGTGTATATGAAGCTGTGTGGTGGTGGGTGTCAGGGTAAGCCTGGACTCTTAAGGCTGTAGAAAAAAATGTTTCTTTTGTTCAGTGGTCATGATAGTAGACCAGTCTGGGTTCTATGGAGCCAGTTCATCCCCAGGGTAATGTTTCATTTATGCGTAGCTGAGTCTGGAAGACTTAAGGTACAGCAAAATTTCAGAAAAACCAGAACACTTGTTTATGTTCCATCACGCCTAAGTTATTCATTAATTAAATCTGTGTATTTTTTCAGGAATCCATACTTTGCATATTGATGATCTCAAGTGCACACACACTATTTTTAATACAGATAATAACATGAAAACCGTGTTACAGATGTTGAAATTTTTAATTTAAAAACACCTTGTATTTTATAATGTTTTAATTGCTTAATAAAATGTTAATATCTACTTAAACTAATTGAAATATAATTTGACATATAACACTGTGTAAATTTAAGGTGTACAACATGTTGATTTGATGTATTTTTATATTGTAATATGGTTGTCATTGTAGTGATAGTTAGCACTTCCATTACGCCATGTAATTATCATTTCTTTTATGTGGTAGGAATAATTAAAATCTTGTCTCTTAGTAGGTTTGATGATTCTAATACAATATTGTCCCTATAATCACTATAGTGTGCGTTAGATCTCTAGGACTTACTTATCTACAAGTTTGCAAGTTTCTACCCTTAAACAACATCTCTCCCATACCTCAGCCCCAGCCCCTGGTAACCACTATTTAAATTTAAGCTAATTCCAACAGGTAAACATTTTGCAACCCAAAGGGTGGCTGGTGATCTCATGCTGGCCCAGCTGACTCTGTTTTGCTTCACACTAACCTTGATGTTTCAGGTCATGCAGTATTTACCTAGAAAATCCCAATGACCACAAGCATACCATGAATTTTGTGGTTTCCCTGAAGATTTTCAGGGTTAAAAGAAATATTTGTATCACCTAATAGGCAATATTTCTAATGGGGGAGAAAAACCCTTCATTATTACTGTCATTTCCCAAGAACTCTCACTAGATCTTTAGCCACCAATGATTCCCCTCTTCTGTTGCATTGCTATCATCTTGAACCTGGGCTCATTAAAGCATTTTTGAACAAAGTAAGGCAGAAGTGAGAGAGGGGACACCAGCCCTCTCTAACCTTTGCTCCCTCAGCCATGGATGGACACAGCACATTAGTGTCTCTGCAGGATCTAAAATGACTGTAAGATGGAAAAACATTGCAAAAATGGACCACATTGCTACCGGTGTGAGCAATCTGGCTGCTTTATATCAACATAGAAACATACCCCAGGCATCACCCTATGCAGGGTGACTAAGCAAATGTCCCTGTGCAAACCGATCCCAAGAATTCCATTGGAAAATAGCCCCTTTACCAAGCCCCAGGACCTACCCCCACCCTAATGCCTCTCCCAGAACTCCATGAGCAATTCAAGTATTAACACCTGGCCCAGTAGAATTCTCCATAACCCTGACCTAGTACAGTGGCCAGTGTCTTAGTGCATGCCTATGCCACACCAGTTGTTAAATATTTTGAATATCAACTTGGTTGAGGGGTTTCAGCTCCCTTCTAGCAGTAGCCCTGTGGGCGCCATGCCCGGGTTCCTCATTCCTCAGCTAAAGATGCTGAAGGCATGAGGCTTCCAGAGTCCAAATCCCTTTCAGAGTTTTCATCTGCTTGCCCCGTTTCTCCATTTACCTCCTGAAGAAACGCCAAGAGATGCAAAGCCTCAGAATCGGCTCTGTTTCTAGACAGTCTGGTTTGGGCAATTTTTTCCAGCTTGTTTTTCATCTTTTCTTTCTCCTTGGACTCCTGGTTTATTTTCGCACCCTCTATAAAATGGAGGATGGCCTTGTCTTCACAGTTCATTTGATACACCTGAAAGTTGCCATATCGCAGATGGAGCACTTGTTTGGCTACAGAAGTAAGCTCTTTGCTGAATTCTTTTTGGAAGTAATACTTCCTCATACTGCCCTGCTTGTGCATAGAGGCAGGCAAGATAGGAGCAGGCATGAGAGAGATTTCCATTGATCTCATCAGCTTTCTTTAAATGATCCACAGCTCGTCCTATTAGTTCCTGTACCTTCTCTCTTTTCCCGTACACCTCATTCTCTCCTACCTTCTGTATTTGGAGGACTTTTTCCCTACAGCAGCACCCAGTACTTATTGAATACCTAGAATATACTTGGCACCATTCTGGGCACTAGGGATACATCAGTACACAAAGATCCTTGTATTCATGGAGCTATATTGTAGCAGGAAGAGAAGACAATAAAAGTATTATAGACTGATTTGTGCCCCTCCACCCATTCTTACGTTGAACCCCTCACCCTCAATGTGACTGTATTTGGAGATAGGGACCTTAAGGAGGTAATCAAGGTTAAATGAGATATATAGGTTGGGCCCTCATCCAATAGGACTGGTGTCCTATCTCTTTCTCTTTCCAAGCACATTCAGAGGAAAGGCCATGTGTGGATACAGCAGGAAGGTGTCCCTCTGCAACTCAGCAAGAGATCCCTCACCAGAAACCAACTTTGCTGGCACCTTAATCTTGAACTTCCAGCCTCCAGAACTGTGAGAAAATAAATTTACATTGTTTAAGCCACCCAGTCTGTGGTGTTTTGTTTTGGCAGCCCAAGTCAACTAATACAATAATAAATAATTAAATTAGATAGTGTGTGATAAATGCTACAGCAGAAAAGAGCAAGGAGAGAGGGTAAGACTAATTCTATCTAGGGGGAAGAAAGGAGTCAAAGTCTAACAGCTGCTAAGTGATAGAGCTAGAAACCTTTCTTGGCCTCAATTTCTTCACTGGTAAAATGGGAGTTATATTAATTCTTACCACACAGGATTTTATGAAGATTAAATGGACCATTATATATAAAGCCCTGAGAACAGTGCCTGTTACATAGTAAATGCCCAACAAAGACTAGCCATTACACCTACTACTGCCACCACTACTGGGAATGGCACTTACTTCTAGGGCTGGGGCATTCACCTAAAAGTGGCCTGTGCTTTAATGTGGGGCTTTAACTACAGTGTTGTCAGATATTGGTCACTGCCATTGGGTTGCCATTTCCGATTCTCTTTTTCTGTTGATCCTCTTTCTTGGCCATAGTGAGAAACTGGGATGATACTCCAGAGGAAGGAGAGTTAGGCCTTCCGTACAAAGGAATATTTGTGTGGTCAAAGAGCAGAAAAGTTTAAATCAGACCCAAAATATTTCAGAGTTGGGGAAAATCAAGGTTTGGGAACACTTTAATAGAAAAGAAATATTGCTCCCATAGGGCTAGCTTAACATGGGGCTAGCAGCTATAACAAAGAAACTCAAAATATAAATGACACTGTAAAAGAGGTTTATTTCTTGCTCACAGAACTGTCCAGGGGTGGTGTTCATCGACAGCTGGTAGGTTTTCTCCATGCAGGACACAGGTCTCTTCCATCATGTGGCTCTATCATCCCCTACAGCGTAAGAATTGACAGTAGAGAAGGCACACGTGTTTCTTATCCTCGAAGTGACACACATTCCTTTTACTCATATTTCATTAGGAACAACTAGTACATGGCCCACTTAGATGTTCGGGGAAGTTGGGAAATGTAGTTCAGACTGGAAGGTCTCTCCCACTGACAACTTCATGGTATGGAAGCAGGAGCACTCATTTGGGTGGGCCAGAGCTGTTTTTATCACAGTATCCTACTCTGGCCCTAAGTATCTTGGACCCTTCTTCCCAAATACAGAGCATACTAAGACCTTCCCAAGGGAGTCAACACAGAGTCAAGGCAATCATTGCACCAGCTCATAGTCAGGGATCTCTGGGTAATGCACCATTCTCCCCAGTGGTCTGGGTGTGACTCCTTGTGATAAAAAAACTAAAAGGCTAGATGAGACTGGGTAATTCATGTGAACCACGTGCAATGGTGGGGCGTGATAACCATAATACACACTCCAAATTGAAAAACGGGAAGATGGAGGCAACTCAGAGGTCATGAGTTGGTAGCAATGATAAAATGCTGCTGGATAGGCATTTTGAAGATCCTCTACCCTGGCAATGGTGGAAGTTTCTCAGTTAGACCCTGATTCTGCTCTCTGATGGGAACTCTCTTGCCCTCGTTCTCCACATCCCCGCCTCCATCCTCTGGGAGGTTCTTTTTGACATTGATCCTCTCATTCTGACCTCTTGTGCCATGGGGCGGGGGTTCTATTTTTACCTTGTTGGCCCCAGAGACCCCTGTCCTCATGTAGAAACTTTGTTGATAATATGCCTTTGGAGAGCATTTATTCAAGGCATTAGTGCCCTCGAAGAATGCCTCAAATATTTGTCAATGTTTGATTCTGAGAATAAAAAAGTTTTAGAAGTAGATTATCATGGAAGCATTGGTAGGTAAAAGAGAG